AAATGTTTGGTATCCTTCATAAACAACGGACCATTTGCAATATACTATGCATAGGGAACTGATATAAACGAACGTGCAGATTAGAGTATTTACCGTATTACATATTTGCAGATATTCGTGTATAAGTATCTTCTATGTCATTCTTCTTCATTCGTAAAAGATGCAAGAATTTACATGCCGTAAATACAGTATAGATTTCCATTCATATATAATTTTTAGCATATATTAATTACAGCTTCTCTTGTATATTAAATAATATATTTAATAGCCTTTAGACACAGTGAATAATTATTTATATATGGTACTATACACATTCCTTCATATATAAACGAATATACGGATAAATGCATTTTTCTCGAGTTAAAGGGATTGCATGGCATTACCTTAGTCACTATTGAAAGCTCCTTGCTCCATATTTTGACGGAAAGACTGTTGCCTAAGTTGCCTGCTCGCGTGCGTATGTCAGCTATGTGTATGCTAATTTTTCAACATATAATGAATGTGTACGTAACTGTGTTCTTGAGTGTTTGTATGTGTGTGCCTGCTCGTATGTGTATGTACGTGTGTATATGAGCCTGCCATTGTGGAATTGGAATGATGAACCGAAAAAGGCATCCCATGTACTGGACGGAAACACAGCAAGTTGCCATAAAGAGTTGAATCTCACCTCAGTAACTTATAATTAGAATAGTTTATAAGAGGTGCAATATGTAGATAAATATAAGATAAGATGAAATAATGAAGACGTTAGATAAAGCGGTTAGATAATGAAGAAATTAAGTGTCTTACCAAAGATTTATATTAGGTTTAAGTTTAAGATATTTCGTCTGTCACAGGCACACTGCCGAATTTCCGATACTCTGCTTGGTTCGTGGACCTTGCCGGATTTTCAGACTGCCGAATTAACCGAGGTTGTAGTAATAATTTCGTTATACTCATTCAATCCTCTAATTATGGACTTCTCATAAAATTGTTTAATTTTTTTTGAAGTCTTAAGTGTGAATTACATAAACAAATGAATAGAAAGGTAACGTCCACTGAACGAATTCAAATTGTTTACTTTGACCAGACTGAAGAAGGTCCCGGACCAACAGTTAGTGAAAAATCTGTAGTGTGCCTGTATGAAACGGTATTCATTATGTATGTGATGAAAATAATTTCTGAGAATTATAGCCGGCAGGGCTAAGGAAGATGCATTTTTTTCTGAAATATACGAATTTTTATAATACTATGAACTCTGTCCCTCCATATATAAAATGCTATTGGTTAGAATTATGAAACATATAACCATATATTTGGAAAACATTTTAAAATGGCTTCCAGTGTCCTTTATATAAAGGTACTTTCAGACTTCTGATATTTCTAAAATTAAAAGTAATGCCTTTTATTTTTATACATATTGTAAAAACTGTACAGCACACTGTATAAATGAAATACACTGAATATTGTGTTTTACTCTATTGTGGACCTCAGAAAATGAAATACAGAAATGCTGTACTAATACAGCAACACCACGGCTGTACAGATTGGCCAAGAGCTGCTTGCAAACTTCTTATACTGAAGTAACTAAAGAAAGATTAAGATTAAAGATTAGTCTCTACGTACAGCTTGAGAACCTGAGTCTTCCCGGGGGTCCTAAGGATTGTCCAGACAGCTTCATTTTGAATCAAGGCGAACAATATCGAAAAAAAAGATAATTTTGATGACTTCAGAGATATGGCTTTTTAACAAAATTGCTCTTGGGTTTCAAGGCCCCTTGGTATATGTACACACTCACACAGACACTCCTTTTGGGGGGGTTGTCACCCACGTTAAAGTTGTTTCCAGAGATTCATTATGGTTTAGCTATCTTTACAAAAATTTATTTACACTTCTAGTTTTGAACAGCTCTGCATGTTTAAATAACAATAATAATAATAATAATGATAATGATGATAATGATAATAATGATAATAATGACAATAATAATAATAACAATGATAATAATAATAATAATAACAATGATAATAATAATAATAATAATAATAATAATAATCTATGAAGAAAAAGGAACGCTTTTCTTATTTTGCTTATTGTTATTATTATTATTATTATCATTATCATTATCAATATCATTATCATTATCATTATTATTAGTATTATCATTATGATCATCATTATTAATTTATATACATATATAATATTCATGCATCCATTATTATGTATGGATATATATGTATGTGTATGTTTTCCAACTTTGTCTGTCTTGCATTTCTTGTTTCCAGTCTTGTCCCCCAAATTTCGTTATTTCGTCACGCCATCTTGTCACTGGTCTGGCCCTTGGCCTTTTTATGTTATCTATAGCTCTGTCTGTTACTTTCTTTGTCCATCTTTCGTTCTGTCTCCGACATATATGACTTGCCCATTGCATTTTTTTCTTTTTGATGTTCCCAAGTATATCTTCCACATTTGTCTGTTCCCTGATCCATGTCGTCTTCATTCGATCTTTAATTCCAGGCATTAACCTCTCCATCCCTCTCTGGGATCTTATTGGTTTCCTCTCTTGTAATTTGCTTGTAGTCCATGTTTCTGATCCATAGGTAATAAATGGGAGGACGCATTGGTTAAAGACTTTTCTTTTTAAATATATTCGTAATAGCAAGGAGCCTCTTAGTATGCTACAGTGTTTGCCGAATTCGTTCCATCCTAGACTGACGCGTCGTTTAATTTCCACTTCGCTAGATGTGTTTGTCTGTATGAGTTGCCCTCGGTATATATACTTGTCTACCACCTCTAGCGCTGAGCTGTGTACATGTAACTGTCCGAATTGAGCTCTTATGTTGAACATGATCGTAGTCTTTTTCTTGTTCATCCTAATTTCATTTGCGGATTCACTGAAGAGAACAATATCGTCTGCAAATCCTAGATTGTTTAGGTATTTGTCTCCTATTTTGATACCCTTTCCGTTTCATGCTAGATTCTTCAATATTTCTTTAGGTGAAGTTGTAAACAGTTTTGGTGAGATGGTATCACTCTGTCTAACTTTTTTTTTATCGGTATTTTATCGGTTTCTGTGTGGAGCTCGATGGTTGCTGTCCCGTCTCCGTATATATCTTCCAATATTTTACAATATACCTCCTCTTCGAATAGCTTCTAGAACTGCTGGTATTTGTACAGAGTCAAATGCCTTTTCGTAATCGATGAATGCCATTATATTCGTTTATTTTTTCTCTTATTTGGGTAAGTGTGTGCATGTGGTCTGTGGTTGAGAATCCACTGCGGTTGCCTGCCTGATTTCTAGACTGATAAGAATTCAGACTGTCAGAGATGCGAGTTGTGATGACTTTTGCGAACAGTTTGTAAGTAACTGAAAGGGTCGGCAATTTTTTTTAGATCCTTTCCTTTCTATTTTTATGTATCAACATAATTGTTGCATTTTTCTAGGTTTATATATATATATATATATATATATATATATATATATATATATATATATATATATATATATATATATACATATATGGGTGCTTCATGCTTAGGGTGATGTGAAGTGATGGTGTGGTAGCCTAGATAGTGTTAAGTGCTCGCATGACTTCTCGCTTGCAGCTGCCACCGCTGGCTAGCCTAGTGTGAAAAAGGGAGCAGCTCCGCATAAGCCTTCCCTGCCAGATCACAGCCTCTCCGTCATCGAGACTTCTGCCTCCTCGTGGCCACCTATGGAAATTAGGTACCTTATGATCCCAGGCTAAATTATGGGGAACCTTGGAGTAGCAGGAGGCCCTAGAGGTACAGAGTCATGGCCCACCGGCGTGTGGAAATGCCCTGGCTCCTTATCAACTCCTATGACTCTGCCCCCTGGGGTGAATGGGTGGCTCAGAGGAGGATGGCCTTGCCAGTCCTCCTCCCCCCAGATTAAAACCCAGCTGGTAACTTCTTTTATAAATGGTAATGATGGGAGACTGCTGGGGCTCAGGAAAGGAATGGGAGTTACTCGTCCTGCAGCCGCCAACTCAGTGTGTGGCCCACAGGAACCCCACAGGCGGACGTTAGGCCCCACAGCCTGGTGGCTGCCCTTTTAGAGGCAAGAAAACCTGGCAGTAGTGTGATCAGTATGGGTGTTTACACTTACTACTTGTCAAGCTGGTCATCATCTCCAGGAGTAGCCATAGCCTGGAGGTTCACCACGGCAGTCTCTGACCGTGGAACGCCGTCATGAATTCGGTCGTGGGTTGCTCGCAGTCTACACCGACCTCAAGAAGGCAGTGACCTGGTGCATCGAGAATCACTATGGGAGATCCTGAGACTTTGGTGAATTCCGGCATGGATTATTGGCCTATTAGCAAGCCTATATACTGGTACTGAAAGTGCTGTAAAGTGTGTTGGGAGCCTGTCAAACTTCTTCCCTGTTAACTCAGGGGTGAGGCAAGGTTGTGTCCTTGTACCATTAGTTTTCAGCACCTGCATGGGTTGGATAATGGGCAGAGCTAGTAACCATAGTCAGCGTGGAGCAACACTGGGCAATATCAAAGTCACAGATCTTGACTTTGCTAATAATGTTACTATCGTATCTGAGTCTCTGGAATCTCTTGTGGCACCTCTTGATGTATTTAGCAATAAGGCGAAGCCCTTGGGCCAAGAGGTTTCCAAGACTAAGATCACGATCTAGGACTTTGAGGGCCTGTTAGGGGAACCCATTCAGTCGATACATGCTTGCAGTAAGGACGTTGAAGTCACAGAGAGCTTTACATACCTTGGTAGTGTCGTCCATGTCTCTGGGCTGTCAGACCAATAAGTCAGTAGGCAGATTGGCCTGGCAGCAAGAGCCATGAACTTGATCAACAAAAGCTTTAGGAAATGTCAGTAGCTATGCAGAAGGACCAAGCTACATGTCTTCAAGGCCTTGATAATACCAGTTTTGCTTTATGGAAGCAAAACCTGGATGCTGTCGATTGCCTTAGAGTCTTGTCTTGACGCCTTTTGTAACAAGCCCTACACTGGGTCATGGAGTACAGTTGGCAGGAGAATGTGTCCAACCAACGTTGGTTAGACTGGCATGAGACCTGTTACTTGCATAATCTGGGGCCGCCAACTGAGGCTATATGGGCACCTAGCTCGTTTCCCTGTGGATGCCCACACACACACACACACACACACACACACACACACACACACACACACACACACACACACACACACACACACACACACACACACACACACACACACACACACACACACACACACACACACACACACACACACACACACACACACACACACACACACACACACACACACACACACACACACACACACACACACACACACACACACACATACACATACATATATATATATTTATAAATATATGTGTGTATATATTATTTTATATATCAGGTATTAAATGAAAAAAATATGATTCATAAAAGTATTCTTTATTACAATAAATCAATACCACTTGCTTTAACAAAATAGCTTTATTATCCTATGGAATGATTGAAACTTGTGGTAACATTATATTCCAAAATTTAAATACTAATGAAGATATCCCACTATCACACCACTGTTCTAATATCATCATAAATATTCAACATATTTCACCTCCATAATTCATTATTGGAAAGTATGGGTCTTTATAAAGTCTCATAATCATAACAATCCTAATAATGGAAATCCCTTTTTCCAAAAGAGAAAAAAAAACAGACATCGGATGAGATACATTACATTTCAAACATTTTATCAGCCTTTATTCAACCAAAAAATATAATATGCTTTTGTAGAAAATTATAACAATGAATATTTTGATTGTCATGTAGTACAGGCAATTCAGAATTTTATTTGGTAATTTAGTTATTTATCTATAGTAATTCTTTATTCACTAAAAGGGACTAAAACATTGTAAAACTACAAATATTAATACACAACTAATAGACAATAAGCCTGTATGTTTATGTGATATATTTAAGAAGCTTCTTCAATGTACAATTTCTTTTATTATATATGCCATAAAAGATAAGAATTTACAATGTATTTTCCAGACTTGGAATGCATACCCATTTCCAACAAAAACATATGTTAATCTCCATCTTCATATATATCTTGATTATTCTTTAGTTTTGGTTTGGTTGCATGTCCTCCAGTACAAAGAGACAAAGCCACAGCAGAGGCTTAATCTTAGGTGCAAAATGCTACAAAATAAACTAATAAGATTTTAAAAAAATGGAAGATTTCCTGCTAATAAGATGAACTATCAATAAAGAAAAAAATATACTCAAAACTCTTTTAGACTTAATAATATATATTAGTATCACATAATATTAATATGCATTAATTATTATAACAAGAGTTACCTCACAAACTACTTAGTAGCTTTAACAACTTACAAGATGTCTTTCTCATCTATATTATACTGCATCACAGATGTTACAGAAAAAAAATATTTCATAGAAGACTGAAGTTTAAAAAATAAAAATGAGTGACTTGTTGTATGGATAACTTTGCTGTCTTTATCCTTTTCCTCTCTCTCTCCCTTTCTTTCTTTTTAGTGAAATATCCACTACTCTCAAATATTCAAAAGTGCTTTGGAAACTTATGTGCTGCTACTGGTTTGAATATGCTCCCTCTCTCAAAATATCATTCAAATTTAACACTTTTCTAAGAAATGACCCCCCAAAAAAAGTTTTTTGCTGCTGTTTAAGTTAAGAAAACCCATACATATCATCTAACCAAAAAGCCTAAAGTTTTTCCTGGTTACCACCAACAACCTCTTTACAACTGAAAGGTTTAGTAATTCAGTGATTGCCATATTCAGCAAGAATGACACAAGAACAACTGTATCAATAGCAAAGTAGTAATACATTTGTAAAAACACAATACAAAAAGAGCCTTAAGAGTAAAGACAGAATGGACATTATATTACAAAATATTGCAACTTTCATTACAATCCCTTATCGTATAAAAAGTACATAGAATAGTTTACAATCTTAAAGCACTGACTACATCATTTGAGAATCAAGTTCAGCAAAATCAATAATGGAATGGTGATATCACTATGCTATAAGAAAAGAAAATTATAAACTTTTATATAAATGATCATAACTTTATCTAGTAATATACTATATAAAACGTGAGGACATTTAAGTACAGTATCATTCACTGCTTAGACTTTGATTTAACACACAGTTTAATGCATTAAATGTTTTAAAATGCTAGAAATAATTGAGCTCCATAGAATTAATGATGTGGAAAAATTATAACATTCTGATATTCTATCTTATAATTAAGATATCAAAAAAAAAAATCATATCTACATATAAATATTTGGTATCAAAGACCACATATTTGCTAACATGAATACCATTTTGCCAAGGACTCAGAAATTATATGAATAATTACCATTAGCATTAAAATAAAACAATATTTAAAGCAAGCAAGATTTAAATCCATATGTAATGTATGTGATTTTTTTTCTCTTTTTTTATTCTCAGCAACACACATCACAATTTTTAATTTAGCAAAAACTAAAAACCGTAATATTAAGAATACAACTTAATCAATCAATCAATTAAGGAAAATATTAAGATATTCAGGAAAAAAAATCAAGTTGAAATAACATTACAAAAAAGTACATGGATTCACCCAAACTCCTATAAAACATAATGAATAAATAAAAAATACTTATTAAAGGAAATCCCACCAATTTTCTATCATTATCCATTTTTCCAGTTCAACAAAGGACACACAACATTCTTCTGACCTATAAATTATACTCCTCCTATATCTCTACCTCATGCTATGAAGTCATGAACTTAATGAAAGAAATATGAAACGAGAATCAAATAAATAAGTGATCGCCACCACAAGGAGCTAATCTAGCATAGTTACAGAAAGGTCAAATATCCTCTCACAATTCCATCGGCATTAAGAGAGGTTGACGGATAATCGGTTGCCGGAAGTACGGTTATCTACTTGTATATCACGGTTTATCAAAAAATATATAGCTATTCACACTGTACACTTATCTTTTTGAATGACTCAGATCCCTTTAGCTTGCAGGGAACAAAATTGTTTAACATTAACTTACTCTTCCTCTATTATTTATACACTATGCATTAAGTAATTCATTATTTACTATTCATTTTTGCATACACTTTGCACCAATTCATTCATTCCTTCATCTATTATTTATACAGTGCATATCATTTAATCGGTTATTAGAAAAAAATCTATCCATCTATATTTTGATTACTCACCTTTGTTTCATGGATCATTCACCTGATTTTCATTTATTCATCAGTTTTACTTGTTGTCATTCACTTCTTTATCAATGTTTATTTTCTATATTCTAACAGTTTAATCATTCAGCTTTTCTATATTTCTCCTTATTTAATGATACTTTAATGATAATTTATCATGCTTCTTTACATTATCCACTCATCTTGTTCAGCTTTCATTCATGATATTCATTGTCTACTTATTCCCTCAGCATTTTTACTCATTTAGCTATCTACCTTTTACTCATTTACCTAGTGCTCATCTTAACTAACCATTCTTTTTATCATTCATCTATTATTCATTAATTTTTACCCCCTTATCTTTTTTTAATTTTTTTGTATTCATCAATTATTTAATCATCATTCCATCATCAATTCCTCTTATTCATCCACCCTCTTGTATCTGTCATTCATAAACCCAATTCTCCCACTATTCATTCAAGATTCTAGTATTAGATTCACCTCATTCATCCCCAGCCTCAATCACCGCCCTTTGGTCCAATCCACGTGCTCGAAGTTCCACTTCTGCGACGCGCTGTACGAGTCACACTTGCTGAGGGAGAGCGTGTCTGGGTTGCTCTTGGAAGGGAGGTCGAGGCACCAGCCGGTCTGCTTGTGCTGCACCTGTTGTGGTCGAGGAAGGGATTTATTGGTTGACCGATGGCTAGATTTACCAGCTGATGGATTAGGGGATCAGACCCAAAGGAGATATAGGCACAGAAATGCCCTCTGCAAGATCTTCATCTACTGATTTGTTATTATTATTATTTTTTTTTTTACTGTGTCAAAGCAGTTAATAATGGAGGGTATTTCTTTACAAATAAAGTCAAAGTATTATGATTTCATGAAACAAAGTGGTATTAATATTAATTCTGCATGAAAATCTATGATTTGAATATCATTACCATCAACCTTGTTATTATCACAACCAAAATTTATACTGTTATTGTCAATATTATTACTCTCAATATTATTACTATGTACTGTAATTATGGAATTTATGAACAAGATAATAAATGGACTATAATATAATCTTCACTATGATGCTGGCAATTCATCTTTGCATCTTAACGGCATCTAATGGGATTGTGATGAAAATAATTATTTACCTCAATTTTGCAATATTGATCTGATTTAAAATACAATATTATGAGACTGTGAATGGTAAATTTATAATGTGGATGATGTAGCCTGAGTAATGCTATATACTTACACTTATATTCAGAGACAACTGGGACACCTTAGACAGAGAGCCAGACTGGCAGCTCGAGGTGATTGGCTGACAGGTACAAGATTCCATACAAGATTCTCTGTCTAAGGTGTCCTAAGAATCTGAATGTGACTGATTATTTATCATATCTGTGATTTTCACAGAATGTAATGAAAAGAATTAAAAAATCAAGGAACTACAAAATACTCAATAATCATCTTTTCAATTAAAAAAATAATCTTTACCTTTACCTTTCTTACTGAATACGAAGATCTGCGATGGGTAGACCTCATAGACGCACTCATGCAAGACAGCTGTGCCCGTGGGTTGGCTCGAGCCCCCTTTACCCATTGGCCGCTGGAGACATTTGCCCAAAGAGTCATGGCGGATCTGTCGAGGGAATGAATTGTTTTGGTATGTGTTGTTTTTGCTGTGTTTGAGCAAGGACAGCAAACTATCACTGTAATGTGATATAATGTAATTGCAGTAGTCATGATATAGAATGTATGAGGACAGATTATGAATAAAATAACTTTGTGGTTAGGGCCTATGATGTACCCTGTATTAGGAATTGGGAATAAAGTAGTTATTTGACCTCACTATGTATTTCTACACAATTTGACTTTTTGGTACATGTACTGTAATTATGGAATTTGTGAACAAGATAATAAATGGACTATAATATAATCTTCAGTATGATGCTGGCAATTCATATTTGCATCTTAACGGCATCTAATGGGATTGTGATGAAAATAATTATTTACCTCAATTTTGCAATATTGATCTGATTTAAAATACAATATTATGAGACTGTGAATGGTAAATTTATAATGTGGATGATGTAGCCTGAGTAATGCTATATACTTACACTTATATTCAGAGACAACTGGGACACCTTAGACAGAAAGCCAGACTGGCAGCTCGAGGTGATTGGCTGACAGGTACAAGATTCCATACAAGATTCTCTGTCTAAGGTGTCCTAAGAATCTGAATGTGACTGACTATTTATTATATCTGTGATTTTCACAGAATGTAATGAAAAGAATTAAAAAATCAAGGAACTACAAAATACTCAATAATCATCTTTTCAATTAAAAAAATAATCTTTACCTTTACCTTTCTTACTGAATACGAAGATCTGCGATGGGTAGACCTCATAGACGCACTCATGCAAGACAGCTGTGCCTGTGGGTTGGCTCGACCCTCCCTTACCCATTGGCCTCTGGAGACATTTGCCCAAAGAGTCATGGCGAATCTGTCGAGGGAATGAATTGTTTTGGTATGCATTGTTTTTGCTGTGTTTGAGCTAGGACAGCAAACTATTACTGTAATGTGAAATATAATATATTTAGTTGGAACCAGCTGCAAATCTGGGATGTCTCACAGGGGTATGAGTACAGCAGTCTGAATGTATAATAAGGGGATACTAAGAACTAAAAATGGTGAGACAGTTAACAACAGGGTCTGGGGGAAGAGCCAATATTACTGAGGTATTTTCCAAGTGTTTTGGAGGAGACTGTGGCACTTAGCTTGACTAATACTGTAGGCATAACAGTATAGAACAAGTAGGAGCTTCAAGTTCTCATGGTTTCAGTAAGGAAAAAAAGGTATTCATATAAATATGCCTGAAAATTTATGTTCAGTAAGAGTAAAGATGGCATTCATGTATCTTTTTATATATAAACATATTCTGCATTCTTTATATGTGAATATTATATTTGTATTGATATGTTTCCAATATATATCACATTGATATTACTATTAGTAATATTAGTAGTGTCATTAGCATTGATATGTCATAATCTATTATGAGCAATAAAATTACCTAAAAAGATAGGAAAAAGAGAAATTGTAAATCATACCAAAAATGTGCATACATATATATCAAACATCTTATATGTCTATCTATATATTCTTATATCTACTTATCTATGTACATAACAGCAATACCAGATTACCCACCTTGCCCACAAATCTATCTTTTGCAGGGAAAAAATTCTCTGGCCAGATATTCTGTAAATACCACTCAAAAGTGTGGCAACTAAGACGGTCTCGAAGCATGACTCGGTCTTTCACAACAACATCATCTCGGACTTTTGCAGCCTCTGTGAAAGAGAAAGTTGGATGTGTAACCGGTGTCATTATTTTGGTATTGTCAAATAAAACTAAAATGGATTTCTCTTCAACCCTATCTCTTTTTATTTTTCTCTTTTTCTTTCCTACTTCCTCCTCCTCTTCTTCTCCTGCTTCTCCTTCTCCCTCTCCCTCTCCCTCTCCCTCTCCCTGTCCCTGTCCCTGTCCCTGTCCCTGTCCCTGTCCCTGTCCCTGTCCCTGTCCCTGTCCCTGTCCCTGTCCCTGTCCCTGTCCCTGTCCCTGTCCCTGTCCCTGTCCCTGTCCCTGTCCCTGTCCCTGTCCCTGTCCCTGTCCCTGTCCCTGTCCCTGTCCCTGTCCCTGTCCCTGTCCCTGTCCCTGTCCCTGTCCCTGTCCCTGTCCCTGTCCCTGTCCCTGTCCCTGTCCCTGTCCCTGTCCCTGTCCCTGTCCCTGTCCCTGTCCCTGTCCCTGTCCCTGTCCCTGTCCCTGTCCCTGTCCCTGTCCCTGTCCCTGTCCCTGTCCCTGTCCCTGTCCCTGTCCCTGTCCCTGTCCCTGTCCCTGTCCCTGTCCCTGTCCCTGTCCCTGTCCCTGTCCCTGTCCCTGTCCCTGTCCCTGTCCCTGTCCCTGTCCCTGTCCCTGTCCCTGTCCCTGTCCCTGTCCCTGTCCCTGTCCCTGTCCCTGTCCCTGTCCCTGTCCCTGTCCCTGTCCCTGTCCCTGTCCCTGTCCCTGTCCCTGTCCCTGTCCCTGTCCCTGTCCCTGTCCCTGTCCCTGTCCCTGTCCCTGTCCCTGTCCCTGTCCCTGTCCCTGTCCCTGTCCCTGTCCCTGTCCCTGTCCCTGTCCCTGTCCCTGTCCCTGTCCCTGTCCCTGTCCCTGTCCCTGTCCCTGTCCCTGTCCCTGTCCCTGTCCCTGTCCCTGTCCCTGTCCCTGTCCCTGTCCCTGTCCCTGTC